GATATTTGCTATTATTGCTTCTCTATAGTGGAATAGTTTCTGTGGTTTGAGCAATGAATACTATTGCTGAGATAATTACTTGTGAATTTCCAGCCCGCTGTTCCAGCTGTTAGTGTCGAGAATGGGCAGTGGGTAATCATGAAACCTTTTGCACCCATATGCAAGCCTGGTGGTCATGGGGTGATATGGAAACTTGCTCATGATAAAGGTATTTTCAAATGGTTTTATGATCATGGACGGAAGGGTGCAACTGTACGACAAGTTAGGTGAGCCATAAGTAGTAATTTTAATAAGTCCATTGTTCTTCTTCAGTTGGAAATTTTTCATAATTTGGATGCCAAACTCTGCATTTACATAAATAATGGTGACTTTCCAGCAATGTTGTGGCGGCTACAGATTTGACCCTTTTGGCACTGGCTGGGATTGGTTTACACCATGGAAAGGTACACTTGTTTCAAGTAGTTATTTTAGACCCCCCTCCTTTTCTGGCACCTGCTAAATAGCTTTATGGAACAGAAACTGGGGTTTGCCTCCTGTAAGAGGAACTTGGGTGCTACAGAAGGAATTAATGTTTTAATTGAGAAAAAAAATCTTGATGGAAGGTGGGCATATGGTTTGTCGTGCATCGAGTACACAGAGTTTGACAAGTTTGGGATAGCAGATGGACCTCATTCTCGTAATAGGTATACATTTCTGTTAATTGAAATTTGTAATCTAGTTTATATGATATGGTGTGATCTGATATCCTTTATGCCTGAAGTTAGCATATGACCAATATGCTTACTAGCATGCCAGTAATACAATACTTTTTTCTTCTTCCTGTTAAGGATATCCAATGTTGTTATTCGGTGACACAAAATTTTGCTTATTTTTCCAGATTTTCTAATATACTTTTAAGTGCTGAGAAGAGTATTGCTCCCAAATATTCTGAAATCTTCTGTCATGTGGGTTCAGTTATAGGTGGCAAATCACAAATACATGGTTCTTGATTTGATAAGTTTGGCAAATATCATGACAAAATAGTAAATGTTTTGAATTCATTTAATCATAATATGGAAGATCTAGGTGCTTCGATAATTGCATAAAAGCACCAACGATATACAAGTTATCCCCACTTGTGCTGAAAATGAAATAACTCAGTAATGTTCTTTTTTTCTTATGAAGTCACATTTGGAAAAGATGGGGTACATGTTAGGATTATAGACCCCCTTATCTTAATTGCAACTTCTTATGCATCCTCTAAATCATCTTTGATTAGTTCTGGTTTAAAGGTTTCACACAGGATATGTTCCTTTATATGTTGTCTGTAGAGGTACATTTGTTGACTGAATATCTGTAATGATTATTGTCTTGTGCAGTTTGATATTGTCTCTTGGTTCATGAACTCGTCTTATAAGTTCTTGGGCCATTCATTTCTTCTGCCATGGTTGTTATTTTACGGTATAAACTTTCAGTATACTACAACATTAACCATCCTTTCTATTTCCAAGGTTGCAGGCAGAGTTCCCCGCCAATACAAATATCTTATATGTAGATTTGCCTTCAGCAGAGTTGGTTGGGTCAAGTAATAGTGGAAACAGCTTACCAGGCATGGTGCTGAATGTTAAAAAGCCAATAACATTTGTAGACCATTTTGGAAAACCACACAGGTACTTTCTTGAAACTTTTAAATGCTGTTTTCCCAAGTGGCTATGTTGTCTGTGTCAATGATACTTGATACCAGATCATGCAAAGATAACCTCAAAGAACCTTCTTTCATCTATAATGACTATTAATGCTAACCATTACATATACACTATAAAAAGAGTCAGGACTTGTAGCCCAAGCACACATGAATGATGTTAGCCTGACTGTAATCACTTTTCAATTGCTAGTGTCTCTGGTGGAAGACTTGAATGCACGATGCAAAATATTGCTGACAGCTTTGTTAATACATGTCCATCTCGATATTATAAGGGTGTTGAAGGTATAATTTATGTTTAAATTGTGGCATACCAATTCCTATTAACGTTTTATGCTTATCAAAAACTTCAATTTCTATAACTGTTGGCAGATAAGCTCGATACTTTTGTTGTTTTTAATAAACGAAGAAGGGTCACGTCATCTGCTAAGAGGAAAAGAAGACTTGCAGACAAATCTTTACACCAAGTATGTACGTGTTCTCTGTCCCCAATTTTGGGAGTAGCTTGGACTGAATGAACTTTACTTTTTGGCATAGCATAGTTGGTGGACATGGTAATTTTTCTCCCTAAGTTAATATGTTTGAGTTTGAATTGCAGACTCCTGATGGTTCACTGTTGGATATCCTACGGAATGCCTATGATCTTCTTTCGCAATGTGATATTGAACTTCCTGAGGTAGATCCTCTTACATATTTTGTAGTAATGTTGCCAAACTTACTTCCACTTCACGTGAGCTATCACTAGACACTAAGTATTGGCTCAATGTAAATTTAATATATCCTTCTAGCAAGCTGTAGAGTTTTTTTTGTGAATTTTCTTTTTATATTCAATTATGGTATTTTACTTCACACTACGCTGCAGATTGAAAGCAATGAAAAGTATTTAAGTTCTGGACCACCATTTCTTATCCTTCTGCATCCTGCTCTTGGCCCACTTTGGGAGGTCACCAGACAAAAAGTAAGTCAATGAGAATCTTGCTAATGTGCCTTTTCAAGGTTCAACTCATTTTTCTCCCTTGACTATGGGGATCGTCATTTACTTTCCTACTGTAATTATGATTTCTTCTGTTACCAATTACCATATTAAGATGCTCTCTGCATTGAGTTATGCTTGCTTCTTTTTCACATGCTGTAAAAGTCAAATGGCCATTTTGAAATTTCATTTGGCATCCAAGACTCTGTTGTTTATTTATTTACTTACTTCATTCAAATATTGAAGAACTCAATAGTTAAGCAGTAAATTGTCTTTGCCTATCAGTTCTATGAAGGCTCAATATCCAAGGCCTCTGAGTTACAAGTAGAGGTTGCAGAGTTTCTCTGGAGGAATGTTCAGGTTTGTACTATTCAAATAGAACAATAAGGTAAACTGTTGTTTCCTCAGCTAATCTATTTCCTATATTGCAGCTTGATGGAAGCCTGATCATAGAGGCTGACAACATTATGGGCTCAACTAAGATTGATCAAAATGGTGAACCCCTTTTACAATATGGACACAGGTAGCATGTTGCTCTGATTTCTACTACTTATTAAGTCTGTTCAGAAATGGTGAACCCGTTTTACAGTTGGACTCATACTTCCAATCTACTCATCCTGTAGGTGTGGAAGATGTAAATTACAGAATGTCAAAGTACTGAATGAGGGAATTGACTGGACTTTTGGAGACAATGTATACTGGAAGCATGATGTTCAACGCATCGAGGCATGTAAGGTCGTACTGCATGGAAATGCTGAATTTGAGGCAACTGATGTAATCTTACAGGTTAGATTGACAACCAATCAGTGTAGATATGCATGGAGGATAGACAAATCGTTGAGCAAATATTGAATTTCAGAGGCTTTTTTAAACATTAAAAAGTTTCATTCTATCAATTAAGGATAAAACCTCCTTTTACATATTATATGAGGTACTTCTACTTTAGTTCCTGCCATCCTAGACATATTCAAATCATTAAGAGCCCGTCAAAAAGCATTTTTTCAATAAATAAATTATTTTACTAAAGATGGCTTTGGGGATGTGATATCTGTGTTACAAGTATTATAGTATAAAATCTACCCATGCGATTGCTTTTATTGTATTGAATTCACTAAAAGGCAAATGTTTCAAAATATCTAAATTTAACAGGTTTTTAATATTTAAGTCCAATTTGGACCTTGTAATTTCCCTCAATGATTTTGGTGAATGGAGGGTTATACATTCAATTGTTAGGAATTCACCTCTCCAGTTGGCTTATTCTGAATTATAAGCTTGTTATAAATTTATCTTCCAAGTCAAATCTAAGAAGCTCCTTTTGCTGCTTACTAACTGATGCAGGGAAATCATATATTTGAAGTTCCAAATTCCTACAAAATGAAGATCACACAAGGAGATTCAGGTTTGTAGAGTTATGAGGCTTTCATGGTATAATTGGCTGGTTTGTCTGTAGACTTCAGATATCTAACGTCCTACTAGAATTCATTTCCCTTAAAAAGCATACTCTTACTATCATCAAGCCTAACATTTCATGGAACATAGGGATTTGCTTGCCAGGAGGTAGAATCAAGCCTAACATTGATGATAACTGTTAGAACTGACCCCCTCTCTAATTTACACGCTGACCCGAATGCATTGTGACATACTTACATGTGTGCCAGACCATGATCTATTCATCCATCATTTCATTGATTATACAGGTTTAGTGGTCCGATTAGATCCTATTGAACAGAACATGATGGATAGTGGAAGCTGGTACTGGGAATACAGCATAAAGGGCACACACATTCAGTTGGAGATGGTAGAGTTGTAAAACACTGTAAATAGTACTCATGCTTACCATAGGTGAATCATGGTTCACAGATGGATACCGAGGTCACTCATAATTTCAGGCATGTTCAGGTCTGTTAGGTTTAACATGGTTAAACCATTTTCATCTTCAAGCTAATTTCTTTCTTATGTAATAGTAGTATAATTACATCTCTTTGTTCTTTTATTATTGGCGAGGAGGAGCAAAGTTTGAGGGCCTCCTCGAAAGACTGATGTAAAAATAAATGAAGTTAAGCAATCAAATGTATTCAATTATTTCATTTTACGAGTAGAATTGCTTACAAATGTGTTTAATTATTGCTTTCGAGTAGAATTGCTTAATCTGGCAAGAGATGTAGCTCTTATTTCTTGTTTTTTAGATCATAAAATGCATTTTCGTGAGACCTTTACATCCAATCTTAGCGAAATGAAAAGTGGTCTACAAAGCTGAAGGAAAATGCCACCATCGCTATGAAAAAATGAATGTTATTCTGGAAACAAACAATAATTTAGCTTTTGAGATCCACTGGCAGTAATAAATCAACACCACTTTCATTTATGTGCTTAAATCTTCACAAATTTACACTTCTGTATCTAACAAACACTCTTTGACACTGTCATCCAATCTGATTCTGAGATTGAAAGCAGCACCTATTAAGTAATCTAAGCAGTGCATCGGCTTTTCTTCGAGCTTTCAAGGATCCATCAGCAGCCAAGCCCTGAAGAGAAGGAATGCTACGCGGGTTCATTAACAGCCGTCTCGCAACCTCCTCTCCTCCATCTTTGCACAGCCCCAACAGAAGAGTTATCGAATTCTCCTTCCCTTTCGGAGAACCAAATCTTAAAAGATCAATAAGAATAGGCACTAAAATCCTACTCTTCCCAATCTCCTCCAGCCCTTCAGAGCAACCCAAAAGTAGAGCCAGCACAGCCAAGGCATCATCTGTAATGCCTGCCTTGTCATCCATCAGCAGCTCAATAAGCAGAGGAACCGCCCCAGCAAATACAACACTCACCTTGTTAGCATTGTAAACTGCAAGGTTAAAGAGTGCTATGGCAGCATCCTTTTTACCAGCTGGAGTGCCTTCTTTCAAAAGCCCCACCAATGCCGGAATGGCTCTAGGGCGCTTCCCAATGGTTACCTTGCAGTCATCTATCATTGACAAGCTGAAAATTGCTGCTGCTGCATTCTCTCTTGCTTCCATGGTGTTCCCTGATTCTAAGACGTTTACTATGCTGTCAATTGCTCCGGCCGCCATGATCAGAATCTTGTTGTTGTTGTAGATGGAAAGGTTAAGTAGCGCAGTGACAGCATTTTCCTGAATTCTTGGTTCGTGGGATCTCAGCAATGTCACTAGAAATGGAATAGCTCCTGCCTCAGCTATTATCCTTCTATTGTCCATGCCTGTTTTGGCAAGTAATCGTAGCTCATATGCTGCTTGCTTTTGGATATCTGGTGAGCCAGTTGCTAGTTTTCCCACCAGAAACTCAGCTGTCAATTTGACAGCATCAACGGCAGCTTTCACAACAGAAATATGATCAACAGCATGCTCATACAAGTCTCTTTTGCTGTTGCTCCTCTCCAAATCTGAGGAAGACGATGGTGAGGATTGAACTTGGGGAACGTTGTTCTCCTCGCACCATTGTTGCATTAGACTCTTGAGTGCGTAGTTGGGTATAAGTGCCATGTGAATTAGCTTCTGACCACTTTTGGGGCATGTTTGGTGCCCTGAATTGATCCATTGGGCAATCGAATTTCTATCATAAGTGTGGCCGGATGCTACAATAACAGGATCTTTCATCAAGTCTAATGAAATAGGGCAGCGGAATTCGTCTGGGACATTGGGGATCAAGGATTGAGAAGATGAAGAATGATCATAATATCTATTTGAGGGTGTAGATTGCACTTTTAAGTCCTCTTTGCTGGGTTTTTCAAATTCGTCGTCAATAAAAATGATGGATTTGCAGTATGAAACAAGAGATGTAAGGTTGTTTATGTTTGATACCACAATTAGTCCACCACTCCCTGCTTGCTTGTGAGCTTCTGCCTCTAGCTTTAAAGTTTCTTCCTCATAATCCATGGTGTTTCTCAGACCAATGCTGCAAAGTATATCTTTCACTTTCACCGAGTCTATGAACCCTTTGTTCTTCTTGTTCTTCTCACTGTTGCTGCCCATCAAAACTAGAAGCTCTTCTCTTCTTTCCAGCTCTTTAAGGTCAATGAACAACTCCACCCTTTTTGCTTGCCTGTGAAGAAGCTCAATTTGCTCTCTGACATCTGCTGTAACCTTAAGCAAACTCAGAGGTAAAATATCAAGTGCCCTCCCCAGCTCCTTCACTAGCACATAGAACTGATTTGAAACTAACTCTGTCTGCATAAGCCCCCACAAAAAGCTGCCATCTTTGCAATCTTGGATCAGAAACTTAGCTCTTCGAATCACGGAGAAAAGCTCGGTGAGGCACAGGATCGATGACGGGGGAAGCGGGCCATTTGATTCTTGAATCTCTTCGAACAAAGAAGTAAGAAGCTTGATCCTCCTGATCATGGTTGAGATGTTCCTAGCCTGCAGAACTGGAAGCTTTTCCATGGAGCACACCTCATTGCATGTGTGAATCAATGATTGTAACAAAGACCCTGTTGGCAAAAAGCCTGTGGAAACCATCAGAGGAGGAACAAGAGCAACATCCATGGTATATCTATCAACTGCTTCTTCTAAATCTGAATATGTTTCTGTTAATTTCTGTGCCAAATTTTTCTTTTGGTTAGGAATTGAATTTCCTTGGAACGTTAAAGAACAACAACAACAACAACGTTTGTTTCTTGAAACAAAAAATTACATATACTAAATTTTTGATATTAAAATGATGGCCAGAGAAAGGAACATTAATCTAATTGCATGGATTCTTGACTGTTTCTGTTTGGAAAGTTGACATTAGAAGACAATAGAAAAGGTGGTAAGTGAAGGAGTGAGAGGGATTCATGGGATGCTGCCACTTGGAGGGACGTCCGGCCTTCTAGGGTTAGTTATTTTCCGCCCCAGTTTTCATATTAAAAAAATTTGCCAGAGACGTTGAATGGAAGTGAAGCCATTTCAAACTTGAATTCGGTGACCCAATTCGTTGCAACTCTTTTTCTTTTATGTCCACATATGGAATGTCTTGTTAGGAAAGCATTGAGCCTTCGGCGCAGCAGAGACCATAGCCGTGGACTTTTGGTAACTACAAGTACTTATTTTGTACTAGTTTCTTACTATCTCTAATATTTTATGATTTTTCATGAAACCGATTTCACTCTATTGCTTAGAAGTTACAATGTATGTTATTTGAAATATATAATATTATATACTCCGCATTCTTCATTTTAAAGTCTTTTTTATTTTTGTATTAGCAGTATCGGGGAGGCGAATGTTGAACACAACACATCAGCTGTTGCATGAATAGATTCTCTTAACTGGTGGCACATCGAATTGTGATTTCACCCTTACTTTTAATCACTTGAGTTAAAAACCAATATTAATATACCTAAAGACAAAAAGTAAAAAAAATCTAATTATACAGTACTACAATTTGGATATTACATGTATATATACATATATTAAATAATAATAAAATGAGCTCACCACAGAAAACGACCAAGCAAATGCGACTTAATTGTGAGGACAAATTGCCAAACATGAACATTAGAAAGAAAGGGGAAGAATAAGTCAAATGTTCAAAATTAAAAATAAAAATAAAAAGAGAAGAAGAGCATGGATTAGTTGTTGCTAATTTATAATTGCTTCTGTTTTAGCAAGATAAGTTCTACTTAAACTTCAAATTAACCAAGTCTACTAATCCTGTAAACATAAGTCGGTCTAATTTCATCTCATCCATTACACAAATGTCATCAAGTATGACGAAGATGATTACGAAGATGATGGTGACAATGTTTTCTCTTTCTTTTTTGAAAAAAACTTACCATAATAATAAAAGGATAACTTCCAAAAATAGAAGGATACCCTATTGTTTCCCAAAACCTAAAGGACCGAGGATGTCAAGGTAATCTACTTAAAAACATTATTTTCTATGTAGTTTTCACATATCCTTTGTGAAAGTTTTTCATCTCTCTTTTGGGAGAGTTTTATTTGTATTGTTATGACTTAGTTTTTTCAAGCTTTATCTCTTTCTTAGTTGGGATGTTTATGTCAAAGTTTCTTCAATTTTGCGTGATCTTTAGTGAAGACGCACCATATTATCTTAATTTTAATGTTAAACCGTTTCGTTATTGTAATGACCATTTGTGGCTAATTTGTATTGGCTTTTTGTGACTAATGATTTTTTAGACTAATGAATGCAATCCTAGAATTTCAAAAAAAGAAAAAAAAAGTGAGAAGGCCGTTTGACTTGGCTGTTGGCTAGCCACTGAAACAAACTTTTTCATTTGGATTATGTGCTATTAGTCGACTTCTCGTACATTAATTAATAATTACATAATTATAATAATTACACGTCAAACAATAAATCCATTTGCGTATCCTGCTAACAACAAATTCAGAACAAAAAAATAATAATAATCCTGCTAACAACAAAAGAATGAAAGCTCCATCGTATGCTATGCAAAATTTATTTATTTTGAATCCACCGTTGCCTCAGGCTTCTTTATTTTTGTTATAGTCAGCCCATGTTGCCTCAGGCTTCTTTATTTTTGAGGAGTGCTAGGATTAGTCGTTCACGTACATGTAAAAAATTGTTAGTCATTCAGGTCATAAGTCACACAATGCATTATCGGCTCACAACCACCTATACGCGCTCAAACAACCGATACAATAACGTGCGGTGGGCCTACTACAAGTCAAATCTAGAAACATGAATAAGTGGAAAATGGTGGGGAAAGTGGAGCAAAGACCATCATGCCCAAAGTCAAGCCACAAAAAATATGCTACAGCCTATGACACCACTTTTCTTTCTTTCTAAATCCCCAAAAGAAATAAATAAAACCCAAAAGAAAAACGAAAATGTCAATCTCTATCAACCCACCCTAATGATTCATTTTTGGGCCGGCCCATATTCCTTCCTCTATGCACATTCGGCCCCCACGCTTTTTTCACGAGCGTGTCGGGCAGTAGTTGGGTTGGGTTTGAAAGGCAAGCACCGCGTGAGGATCACTTCCGTCATGTCGTTAGGTTTGTGTGGTCTGGGAAAACGACAGCCATTTCAACAAGTGGGCTCTTGGAGTTGGAGGAGCACTATTCTCATCTTTGTTCCATTTCCACTTTCTTTTGCCACAAAATGTTTGAAGTGACATTTTATTCCTCATTTGCTCAAAAAATTTGGTGACAAAATTGAAGTGTTCTTCAAAATCAAAGTTCAGAGGACTAAAGAAAGAGTTTGGCAAAATGTCAACAAATCAAAAAAGAAAGAATGTGCCAAATGACTAGCTTTAGGTTCATTAGCATGTAGTGTATGAACTCATTTGATCATTTACTTAATTTTATGAAAAAACGATATCTTATCAGACATTTTAAACGTACAATTTTGATTAATGATCTTGTTATTTAAAATTCAAACTTATGGCTATCACAATTGTACGGAGACTTTTACGTTTTTAGGTACTAATCATGTTTATTTCATAATTGGCATTGGTTTCTTTCATTTGGTTTGATTGCAAGATGCAAAAATATGTTTGATCAGAAGCATTAGAATCATTTTGACGACCCAATCCAGCTGGAAAAATGGTTGATGATGGATTTTTATGTTTTTAGGAATTAATCACAAGCAAGATTAATGGTGTTATAGTGATGTTTTGGGCACCACCATAGGTTATATAGATTCAAAGTTCATCTTTTTACACCTTGCCATGTTTCCTTCTTGTGGACAAATCCAGCTTTCTCTTGATATTTGATTTACTTTTCTGGTGAAATTTCCACTGTCAGTCAAATGAAATATGTCATCTTTGTTGATGAACCATCATATCCCATTATAACCCACCAATGGCGCATGATGATGGTGCCCCATCTTCAATTATTTGGCTTCTCTTTTTTATTCCCAAAAAAAATACACAAATAATCATTTCAGAAATTAAATTAGGAAAGAGAAAAAGGTCAATCCAAACCACAAATGGACCATGCAAAGTGTTTGGACCCTGCAACCTGCATAACACACTCCATCCAACTGAAGCATAATTTAGAAAATAAACCATTTAAAACTTATTTTTTTATGTATATATATATATATATATATATATGATGGAAAGGAGATTACTCATTATAGAATTGGAAGTGGATTTAGCTAATGAAGCCATGAACATGAAGGGAAGTCATGAGCCTCGTTCAAGCTCATCCTGTGCAGCTTGCAAGTTACTGAAAAGAAAGTGCAGCCCCACCTGCATTTTCGCACCATATTTTCTCCCCGACGAGCCCAAAAAGTTTGCCAAAGTTCATAAAGTGTTTGGAGCAAGCAATGTGAGCAAGATCCTAACTGAAGTGCCGGAGGAACAACGCGAGGACACGGTGAATTCGCTGGCTTATGAGGCAGAGGCAAGGCTGAGAGATCCGGTTTACGGTTGCATTGGTGCCATAGCTACGTTGCAGAGGAAGATGATTGAGCTGCAACATGATCTGGCTATTGCTAGAGCCCGTCTTGCTTGTTATGCTTCCAATTCTTTATCATCATCACCACCAACAGCTTCTGCTTCTTCTTGTTATGGTGTCTTGGATGATCAGCTCAGCGAGGCTGCTTTCAGTGCGGTTGGCTTTCCTGCCTACAGCGGATTTAGTAATAGTTTCATGAGCCAGAGTGCACCTGAACTGATCAGCCATAGCCAGCATGGACAAACTAGTGATTTTAGCTGTGCCCCATATATACTGTGAATTTTATTATGATCTCTTTGTCTCTCCCTCTGTGATGGTAATTTGGGAATATGTGGCCTTAATTTGTGATTATAATAAAGTAATGGGATCGGTGAGAATTTAAAGCAAAGGGAGGGGCAGCATATTTATTTTCAGCTCAGTCTCCTAGTTTGAGAACCCAATTCGTGTAGCTGATCACCTCACAGAACACTTGCCTTTAGATTGTTTTCCAGGAATGAATTGTGATTAGTAGAATAGAATGCAAAAGTGGCTGTTGGTGCTTCTACAATGCTAGAAAGAGGGTGACTTGTTTTAGGGTTCTTCTTGTTT